ATGCTAATCAAACTTTAGGAATCGACCCTACTTGTCTGTCACATAGAGAAGTAATTTTTCAGTGTAACCGTAAGGTTTGAGGGATGGAATTACACAAATCTAAAAGAACAAACTAAAATTTATATTAAATAGTAATATTTTTAATCGCATTCAGATTTTTGTGATGAAATTCAACACAAGTCAGTTTGTGCTATAATTTGTAATTTTGTATTCAACGGTTAATGTTAGTCTTATTACGTAGATGTGAGCTCTTGGTTCGACGTTGAAATCTTAAGATAGAACACAGACATGTGGTGTTACTATTCAACTCAAATAGTACATCACGTGACTTTACATTGCTAATACCTCCTAGGGAGAGATTTGTAATTTTGAAATGTTATAATAATTCTTAATGACTTCTCTCTGAGACATGATTACGACATCGTTTTATGCTATAATTTTCTTGGCAGACATAATTGCAATAGTAATAGAGAGCACATGGTTACATGGCAAAATTATAGATAAGAAATCCAAAGGAAATTATATGAAGTAAAGGAGAAGAACATAAAGATTTTTGCGATGCCTTAATTTATGTGTATCAAACATGCTTTGATGTTGTTGGTAGACATCAAAACAATCACTAATTACGTTACTTAAATCTGCTAACCACCATTTGCTTCCTTAAAAGGACCATTCTCCACCAAACTAGCTAGATTTATTGGTCGGTTGCTTTATCTCTTGGGGTAATTTTTGGGATAATTATGTCTCAGTAACCCTAATACACGCATCATTTTTTTAACCCTTATCATTTTTTAATTACAAACAATATTATTACTATGAATTAGTCTAAAGAAGGAAACTTTAACGCAAAGCTCTCGGCACTGTTTATTTTAACGAAAAACCACATTTTTACATTAAAAAGTCCATTATGGTACTTTTTACTTTACCCTTTATTTTGTCCTTATCATTAAAACTCAAAGTTTTCAAGCTCTTTTCATTATTTTTTCTTCTAAGGAAAGACGGAGTTTTAACCAAAATAAGTAAAAGAGGAGGGTTTGCTAAAACGCAATCAATTGAAGAGGAAGATCTTCTCCGTAACTTTTTATTCTTTGCATCATTGAAAAGTTTTCATCATAGTGAAGCCATTTTCTATAGTTACTCCTTCCTTCCATATATGGGTCAAAAGTCAAAACGTTTCTGCTTTAGTACACATAATACTACTTGTATGCAGAAATTATTGAAGGTTTATTTTTAGTCATACTCCTTGAAACTCTAGTTTCGTCTTATTTTGCAATCTAAAAATGAAATTTGATGTACTTTACCATTTGAAACTCGATTTTCGTCTTATTTTCTCACATTCTGTGGAATCCGTTAAGAAAATTGTTGAGTTTGCGACGTGGCACTAGTGTGGCCCACTTACATGATGGCATGTTCGCCGCATCAGCTTAAGAATATATTTAATATTTTGAAACTGTAAGAAACATTAAAAAAGATTTAGGTTTTTATCTGTTGTTTCCAAAATGATTTTCACAGCTGTTGCTTTCTGTTGATTATTTTGAGTAACCAACACTCTTTCCCGTACGATTTTTACAGCTGCTTCGTAATAATAAGGCTATGAAATTTGTTAAAAAAACTCCTCCTGTTTTAGCATTTAAAGTCCTTCCAAAGTTATGATTGGGCTCTTTTCTTGAAATAGCCCAGTGAAATAGCCCAGGAAGCCCACTTGAACTGTGAATAGCCTCATCCTTACCCAACAAAACTCAAATGGGCCGTCTTGGAATTAGTTTACTCATAAAAACGGCATGTAAGAGAAATCTGCGTAAGACCTTAATGCACTACATCAAGAATTTCCCAAGAAGAAAACTGATTCGAACTTCGCCAACACATTAAAATACAAGCCAATGAGGCTTTAAGTTATAAGTAAGTCGACATTGTTACGTTTGTCCAGTGTTTCATATATGAAATTGGATAACAAACATTACCTTATGTGAGAATATCAAATATCTACTTGGGCCTCCTTATACGATGCCCTCATTGGTTGCGATCAGTTCTCAGATATATTGGTGGCTCTGACTTGTAATCTAAGCCACCAGCTTGTGATTTTTCCAGGTAAGCTCAACAACTGGACGTGGAAGGAATGAAGGGCCCACTCTCAGATTCTGCATGCCACATGGCACCCCAAAAGCCAATCGGACACCACTCTCCTATCCTACAAGATAAGCCCCTTCAATTCTTTACATTAACTCATCTGCGTCTCTCTCCCCAAACACTCCAAACCCCATACAGTTTCACAGATCAAATAAGCAACAAAGTTTGGTCGAAGCCTCGAAAAATGGCCTCCGCCTGGGCTACCTCTTCCGCCATTGCAGCCGTCGCTGTATCGTCGCGGTATTTATTTATTAATTTAATGTGTGCTTAATTACGTACTCTTGCATGGTTTATTGGGGTTTTGGAGTTTTTTGTTCCTTCGCGTTGTTAATTAATACAAGCAAGATGTGAATTATGCTGCAGCTCCCAGAAGGGTGGGTCTTCTTTGGCGGCAACTAAGGCTTCTTTCTTTGGTGGGAGGAAGCTGAGAGTGAGAAGCTTCACAGCCACCAAAGGATCATCGTCATCTTTTACAGTACGTGCGGCTGCTGCTGACCCCGATAGACCTCTGTGGTTTCCAGGAAGCACCCCTCCCCCATGGCTCGATGGAAGGTAGGTCCAAAATATCCCGTTTATGAATGTTCTCTTATCAGACTATCTAGCAACATGAAATATTTTGGTTACCAGCATCAACATGCAAGTCTAAACCATTAATTAAGTTGATAACTGTCCAACAATGTGGTTCATATTCACATAATTGAACCTAAACCCTTAATTAAGTCGACATTTGTCTGAATATCTTTGGTTCATAGCCGCATCATTGAATCTTAAGTTGTTAATAAAATGTTTGCTTATAGAAAAATGTTCTCTTACCAGACTAGATTACAATATAAGATGTTTACGTTGCTAGCATAGTAGCATGTGAACCTAAACCGTCACGAAACAACTCTCTATATGGTATTTTACGTTGTCTCTCTACCTTACTGATTAAGTGTTATAATAATGCAGCCTGCCAGGAGACTTCGGCTTCGATCCTCTTGGTCTTTGTAAGTCGAACACCAATGCTATTAATCCCTAACCATAATTCTCACATATTCTCTAAATGCTGATGAAATTTGTAACTAATAATGTTTGTTAAAATGTAATTACAGCATCTGACCCAGACAGCCTGAAATGGAACCAGCAAGCAGAGCTTGTACACTGCAGATGGGCAATGCTCGGCGCAGCCGGAATCTTCATCCCCGAATTCTTGACCAAAATCGGCATTCTAAACACCCCGTCATGGTACACAGCCGGAGAGCAAGAGTACTTCACAGACACCACCACTCTCTTCGTCGTTGAGCTTGTTTTGATCGGGTGGGCCGAGGGGAGGAGATGGGCCGACATCCTCAAGCCCGGCTCCGTTAACACCGACCCAATCTTCCCCAACAACAAGCTCACCGGGACAGATGTAGGGTACCCGGGAGGGCTCTGGTTCGACCCACTTGGATGGGGAAGCGGCTCGCCTGAGAAGATCAAGGAGTTGAGGACAAAGGAGATTAAGAACGGAAGGCTAGCTATGTTGGCTGTGATGGGGGCTTGGTTTCAACACATTTACACTGGGACTGGCCCCATCGACAACCTCTTCGCTCACCTCGCTGATCCCGGCCATGCCACCATTTTCGCTGTGAGTGCAATTAGCGCACTTTAAATTGATTTAAACTAATTTGATTGGATGCTTAGGGTTTTCTTAATTAGGGTTAACATATCTAATTGTTTTGGTTGGTTTTTGGCAGTCTTTCTCCCCCAAGTGAGGAACGAAGGAGAATTCTAACTGGGGCTTTCAAGTGCGGGAGGAGAAGGAGCAACGTTGTCATCGATCCGGGAAAAGAGGCTGAGAAGTATTGTGTTGTTCCAAGGGAAATTTGTAGGACTAAAAACTTGTAATTTGATGTGCTTGTGTACAAAAATCTCTTTGGAACCTTCGTTCCAATATGTATGAAATCAGCTGGTGACCTACAAACTTATTCCAACTGCATATGCATGGCATGCAACAATGTTAACTGATGTTCTTCTTATCAAACTAGCTTGGGATTTATAAACAGTAAAATCGATAACAAATTTTTAATCAAAATTTATGTTGCAAATAAAATAATAGAGAAAAGCGGTACATAATCACAATTCGATATTTGCTGTTTTTTTGTAATCAATTTTATTTGTGCATATTTAATTTCATCGGAAAGTTGTATAAGATCACTTAATCATCCGCTGTTGACCAAAAAAAGTTAAAAAATTATCCACTTTGATACTAAGTTGCAGAAGGATCCTCCTCTTAATCCACAAAATCAAGAGATCCGTTGAAATTTGATTCAATAGCTACAAACAAGAGCCCACTTTAAAAGTTATAATAACTTCAACTGCTAGATCAAATTTCAACGGCACGGATTTCCTGATTTTGTGGATTAAGAGGAAGAGATCCGGAAATGATCCCTTTCCCCAAGTTGCCACCTAACATCCACAAGTAATAGCCTCCAAAAGATTTTAATCAGGACGGTGAGCTCCATACATGTATATTCATCAGATCATATTATATTCAAAGTCTAACTTGTCAATCAATCCCCCCAAGTTGAAAATTATTTGTTTTGAAGCATTCAACTTTTATGAAGCTACGCCTAATGGAACCCAAATTCATGTTAGTTGGTATGCAAACACAATTCAAATAGATGGTTGGTTTGGAGATAAAATAAGAAGTGATTTCCGCACATTTTTTTTTCGTTAGTCTACACATTTTTGAAGAATTAATGCACTAAAACAAACAAGAATGTAGGAGGAAAAAATGTGTACGGAAATCATTTCTCGAAGATAAACTGTTTGGACCTAAAATCCTGAAACTTCAACACAAACTTGTGGCCACAAGAAAATTCAAGCAACAAATTAAGCAGCAAATACTAAAATTCTAATTAAACTTCAGTAAACTAAATTATGAAATTCTGAGGAACCCAATACAATTTACAAACAAATTACACTTAAAGGCAACAAATTTGTCAATAAGCAGACAAATTTAGTCATAAAAATATATTAATTTGAAGGAAAGTCATCTCATTACAGCTTAATGACGAACTCTCACCCCCTCTTCTTCTCTCAAAGTATCATTAATTTACTATAATACAGGATTTAATTTTTTGTAATTTTCACAAATCTCTTCTTTGGGAAAAAAAATTGACAGGAAAGAGAGAAATTCTATAACTTTCTAATAAGAAGCAAAACCGAACCGGCTAAGACGGAGGGTTGGGGCGCTGTACGGAGATCTGAACCGGAAGCGGCCGACTCGTACCCGACCCACCACAGCTGCTACAAAACGTACGACCCGAGCCGGCACAGCTCCGGCACCCGACATCACCATCGGACCAGCGCGAGCAGAAGCAGGTGACCCGACCCGTTCCGTTGCACCTGGGACAGCGCGGGAAGGGGCCGGCCATGGGCTTCTGGTCCATGACCGATTTGACGAAGACCGCGCCCGCCAAGACGCCGAGACCGGTGGCGAGCTGAGTCAGCACGATCGGACCTCCCATTTGTTTGGTGATGCGTCGGATAACGAGGAGGGAGAGAGCAGAGAGAGGGAGGAAAAGAAGCGAAAGGTGTAGAGAGAGAGAGGAACAAAGATTTTTATTAACTTATGGGGGTTTTACTGAAGAATTTAAAGTGGTGAGGGGAATGGACACGTTGACGCGGTTGGGTTGGGTGAGATTTTTAAGAATCCGGATTCTCGAAGGATAGTTCGGATTATAGGAATCTGTCAATTATGTCCGTTTATAGTATATTATACGATCAAAAATTATTTTAAATATTTTTATTTAAAATTAAACATAAATAGTATTTGATAAAAACTGATAATAAGATTTATAATGAACGGACACGATTTACAAATCTCTAGAATTCTTACCTTAAGGATCCTGAGAGGATTTTTATGGAGGTCGGGGGATCTGGAATGTTGTGGACGTGTTTGCTTCCTTGTACGCTACTTCTACTTGGAGCCTTGGTGGCATGTACCACTTGATATTGATTTTCTTATCTTATTCTTGTACATCACATGTTGGAAATTTAGGGGGTGTGATGGGAAATTGGTTTTGAAATTTTTATGGGTGGTGATAAAAATTATCTGAATAGTGGAGAATCTATGTGAGTGTGGTTAGCATTATCATATTTTCCTACTCCAAGCATATATGGAGGCAAATTTTTTGCCCTCTCACTTTCCGTGTCCTCCTGTTTGTGTGGTCACGGTTAAACCACGTCAATATTTTATATTACTATTCATTTTTGTCTTATTATCTCTATAAAAAAAATAATATAAAATGTTGACGTGGCTTAACCATAACCACACAAAACAAGAGAGCACGAGAAGTGGGAGGGTAGAAAATATGCCTCCAACATATATATGACAAATGTTCAATAAAAATGACGATATCTTTTGTTATAAGAGGCAATGACAGATCTAAGATTTGAATTTTGAGGGATTTTGTTTTAAAAGTTACAATGGCGTACCTTAACTTACAAATTTGTTGCAATGTAACGCTCCACCCTCGAAATATTTATTTTCGGGAAATAATTCCAATGATAGGCCCAAATTAAATTTTTGTTTATTCTTTATTTAATTTTCTTAATCGCTCACAAAAACTACAACCATAATTAACTTACCAAACCATACGATTAAATTTTCATAATTTATCACCAATTTCTTCTCTTAAATCAAACCACATCTACCATTGGTCAAATAACCCTAGCATACTAATCACACTTATTGGTAAACTACTTACAATCATTGCCATATTCATCATTGGCAAAACAATTATGATAAATTCCCAACCGTAACCATCGTCGGGGAAATAAATATCACAATTTCAAGCCAAACCATTTAAATTGGCAATTCAAATATAAAAAAACTCCAGCCAAAACCATTGGAATTCCAAATCACAATCACTAGTAAAATCACTTACCATCATTGGCTAAACATAGCCATCACCATGATTCACCTTCAAAATTCGTGTGCCAACATAATCCAACCTGATGACCGGTCCCGCAGCCGATTACCCTCACTTCAATCTGACCACACAACATGAAGTATGGTAACGAGAGTGTCCAGTTATTCCTACACTACACCCCAGAACCAAGTACCTTCCCCACAGAATATGGTACATGTTCGGCTGCGTAGGCCTCCAAAGGTTTAGGGGATTGAAACCCAAGGTAGTGCGCAATGCCTTTCACTCCTAGTAACTCTCAATCCAGGAGTGTCTATTTCGAACGGACATACCACATAGACTATCCCACAGGAGTACCCTGACTGTATAACACCATCTGAAGGTTTAGGGGATCGAAACCCAAGGGAACCTCACAGTCCCTTTCACTCTCAGGTCATCAAAATCATCCAGGGAACCTACATTTTCAATCCATAGGAACCTGTGCTCACAACAACATACGTGAGTAATCCATAATACATATATGCATCTCACATATTCATAGAAATTCTGAAATATGCAACCACAATGCAAATCATAATTTCCACTCACAAAACTCCATAATCGCCATGAAAATTGCACCATGCCACATGTGCGAGTGGTCCACCATATATATATCACCTGGATGCCACTTATCCACAAAATTTGGAAATAATGCATTCTCAATTCATATGCATATCACATAAATGCCTCATGATTCATAAAACTTGTGAAATATAACAATATCACCATAATCATATTTCACATCATCAAAACACGAGAGTATATACGTTCACCCTCCTGCCAGTGCGAGATTCATAATACATGTATATTTCTCATTAATGCCACATTAATCATAGGAATTATAAATAATGCAATATCAATGCAAATCATAATTCACACCAACATGAACTCGAGAATACTGCATATTGTAGAGCAGTATCATTCGTTCTGATACCAATTTGTAACATCCCGAAATTTATAATTTGGAAGCCAAACACACCAGTAGGCCACAATATATCTATAATGGTTAATTATAATTCTACTAACCATTCAAAAAAAATATTCATTTTGTTGAGCTTATTGATGTGAGAATTACTTGACACAGAAATTAAACCCTCTTTTTGACAATTGTAGTATAGATGTAAGTAGGGTATCGTTCTAGGCCGGGGATTAGGAGGGATTGCTAATCTATTCTAAATTAATTTAAAAATATTAAATAAGACTCAAGGACACAAAACTAGGCTAAAAACTCTAATAACTCGAAACACACTTAAAATGACTCAAAATAATGAAAACAATTAAATTAAACACTAGGAACTGAAATGGACGAAAATTAAATTAAAAGACTAACAATAAAGAAAACTAACTAAATAATATAATTTAATAATGGATGGGTGTTTGGTTTTGATGAAAAGTAAATTAAACTTAATTAAATTACAGAATTGACAAAAAAAACATAAAATTAAGGTGAAAGGATAAATGACGGACTAGCTAGAGGGTTCTTCTCCACACATGACACATATGCAACCTAAATTGATTTTCAGTTGTTCTTTCAATAAATTGTAAATCTCAACGCCCCAAATTAACCGTGAATTGCACTAATTAACCCTCAGTTTTTCCACAAGTTATTGGGTTGGATGATTGCATACGACAACCCAAAACATTCCCTACAAGTTCCCTACATGAATTGCATAATAGAGATACAAGCAAGAATCATTGAAAAACATAAGCATTGACGAGGCACTCGTTACTATGATTTGCATGAAACTTATGCCAAGAATTTACTTAACGTGATTGTGACTAGCAACCTTCACTACTTGTGAATATAAGTTCATAACGATTAGGTGAAATTCACTTATATTCTAGCATCAAATTCATGCATGTAAATTAAGTATGCATCCTTAATCGACATACAAAAATAAGTTATCTATCAAGCAGTTAAGCAAATTAAATCACAACTCAGAAATCACAACTGAAGGTAATCAATTCATATTACAAATATATTCATGGTTTCGAATTAACCTCTAGCCAAAATAAAATTAATTACACATTATTAAAACAAAAATAAAATAGGAGTTTGGAAAGATTAAACCGAAAGAAAGGATCTGCTGCTTGGACTCTGAACTGCATGGACTCTGAACTGCATTTTCATGCTGACCTCCTGTCCTCCTCGCCACTGACTTCCTTTCCTCAAGCTGCCCAATGGCAGCACTCTCCTCTCGGTCCTCTTCCTGCGTCTCTGCGAGCTGCCCAAAGGGCAGCTCCCTTCTCTCGCTCCCGAGGCCCCCCTTCAAAATCGCTGCAAGGTGCAGCTTTTATTGTTATCCTCCTTTGTTTTTCCACCGAGCCTTTTTTTTATGAATTTCTCAAACTGCCCAGGCAGCTTCCATTATTCCCTCTTTTTCCGTATGCTCTCTCAGCTTCTCCCACTCTTGCACGCTGCAAAGCACTTGTATAATATATTTTTCTTCTTTTTCATTCTTTTGTTTTCTTTTGTTCCACCCACAAGATTCCTCACTGCCTAAGGCAGTGCATGGTTCCTCTTTTTCTTCCTGTGCTGCGCAAGCAGCTAACTTATATTTTATTTTTCTGCTTTCTGCTTCACCTACCGCACAAGGCTTAGTGCTCTTCATTTCTTTTTATTCTTTTTTTTTTTCCACGCCAGGTAGCTTCTTTTTGCTCTCCACCTCACGCTGCACAGGCACTTGTTATTTTCTTTTCTTCCAAAAGAAACAAATTTTAGTGCAGAAGACAATAAAAATACATGAGTAGACAAGATGGCCACAACTTGGACGGCAATAGTAAAAGAAAAAATCATAGAATTAATATTCTAAGGCACTACAACATAAATAGACCATACAATTAAAATTGTAACAGCCAACTCATGACAGAATGAGAACGACTAAAGCAATTTTCGACGAATTTATTATTTAAAACTCATTTGTGCCATTTTTATTTTCTTTGCATAACAAATCCTATAAACATAAAAAAATAACGTAAATAGCTCAAAAATATAAGGAACTAACTAAGAAAAGACGAGTGAATTTGAAGTAAAAATATATATATATATGATCCTATCAAATACCCCCATACTTAGCTTTTGCTAGTCCTCGAGCAAAACAAAGAAAACATGAAAAAGTACTAACATGAAAAACATTAGTTTCCCCCTATGCGACCCTCATAGAATTTGAGAACACAAATCATCAAGAACCATAGCTAGCACCAAACAAGTTAATTCAAGTTCATCTTCCTTATTCAAATATTAGCTGTAATCTTTAAATCATCCTTGAAGTGTAGTGTGTGAGATAGCCATGCTAATGCAATTTCAAGTTTTTATTTTTAAAATCATCATATGCAAACTAGCGACCTTCTCACTGGATATGCACTCAATCACACATGTGTTTAGTTTTAATGTGTTTCGCTCAAAGAATCAAATGTGAAATTTCTACTATAAGCTTGCATAAAGATCACTTCTCCACAGTCATAATTGCAAAACTTAAATCAAGAGGACTTTTATTGGATGTAATGAGGTTTAGGGATAGGGTTATTGAAACGAAAGAATAGGAAAACACAAGTTCCAAGCTACATTGCAAGCAATTCTTTTCTTTAGATTTATAAGAACTCAAGCTCTCCAACGATTCTTCAGACATCTCCAACCACAACCTTAAACTGAAACTTTAAAAAC